AAACACAAAAAGGAAATTTATTTTTTAAAGTGTATATGTATACTTATTTTTAAAACTGGTTTTGTTTAAAATGCTAAGAACAAGTTTTCTTGTAAAGTATTGTAAAAAATACCATTTTTATTTAGATAAAGTACTTAATCATCAGATCTCATATAGAACAAAATAATGAATCCACTTTGAAGATATTTAAAGCACAATCATTAAATATGAGGAAATGCTTCATAAATTCAGCCAAAATCATATTTGATATGAGGAAGGTAACCATTGCAAGATAAACTTAGGGGCCAGATCTCAGCCATAACTATTTCATCACAATTTTTCCAAACTGGTTCCAAAGCAAACAAACGCCTATAAAAATATTTTTTCCTCCAATAGAAATGTGGACATGCATGTTCTGTACAGGGACTTTGGGAAAGAAGACAATGGTAGAACAAAAATTAACTGCAGGATATCATAGATAAGGCACATATACGTGATGCAGTCTGCTGGTGAGCAATGGTCAAGTATAACAGAATCTGGAGAAAGTTAATGGGAATGCAGTAAAATGAAATTCATTGTTGCTAGACTGGGCATTGGCTTTGTGTCCTATAAAAATTCCCAAAGTGGCTTGATGACAATGAATTATTTTCATTTGTAAACTAATAACATTTTTTAAAGGTACAAAGAAAAATTCATAAAACAACAGAAAGTATAAGTGAAATTTGGAAGCAGAAAACCAAAGGATAAGAACTCCAAACCTGTACATATAGATCTCTTCAGTCTGCTGCTAAATGTAAATATATGCAGCCTCAAGGAGAAATTCCGGAGTGAAACATAGTATTGGTGCAGATCTCCTAGCTCCTCGAGCACTCCGAGAGACTTGGGACATCTAAGTTCCACCAAGTCTCAGTGGAGAGGCCTCCAGGAACATTTGCAATATTCTGCAGACAACTTTTAAAAATTGCATGTCAATAGTAGGTATAAACTGTCCCTATAATGAAAGCACTCAGAAGAGATTGCTACAAACTTTAAAATGAACATTCATAACGATAAATAAGATCTATAATAACTCAAGGACATACAAACAAACGCCAATTGTCTTTTATTTAACTACAACAAACTCCAGACAACAATATATACAGCTTTTCGAATCCAATAAAAAAATTACTAGATAAAATTTCTGTTTACAGCTGTGCCAAAGGTTGGTAAACTGACTGGAGGAAATCCATATTTGTACTCATTCCAAAGAAAGGTGACACAGCAGAATACTCAAATCATAGAACAACATCACTGATATTTGCAAGTAAAATTTTCCTTACTATCATCCAATAGAAGATACAACATACATTTACAGGAAACTGCCAGAGCTTAAGGGGCCTTTCAGAAGAGGACATGAAACAAGGTATATCATTACTGATGGCATAAGAATCTTGGCTCTTGGGGGACCAGCTTCCACAACTGCATGGATCATAGTGGGGCAGTTGTGTAATTGAGGGGTAAAGTAAAGAAATGACAGAGAAGTGCTCACATCTCCCATAACGACTGGAACCAGAATGAGGGGGAATGAATTCTCTCACAAGCTTATATAATCTCAGTCATGCAAGCCACATCACAGACATATATAACAAGAAGGGGTTGTATTAGAGGCATACACATAACAGGAGGGGGCGAGCTAGGGGTATACATACAATAGGCAGGGGAAGTACTACGGGCATAGATGTGACAGGAAGGTACCTACGAAACAAGATAGACAGGTTCTAGAGTTAAGATGGTGGCCTCCTTGGTTATCTTTGAGCTGGCTTGATCTTAAGTGTCCCTAAATTCTTCCCCGGGAACAGTATATGATCCTTATCAGAAGGGAGTGGGCCCTACCTAGGATGGGACGGACAATATGGGCTGATTGCTCTCAGTGGCAGCCAACCTTCAGGCTGACAGCCTTCAAGCAGACAACCTTCAAGCTAGTAGCAACCATGTGCTTGCAAGCAGTACTTTAAAATTGGCATTATTACAGGGGGACATTGTGCAGAACCACTTTTGATTTAGGAGAATGTGACTGGGATGCATCTCAGCCTCCAGACTTCTTAAAATATGAGCATAAAGAATTTTGTCTGCATACACTCTCTTCTCATTTTTAGTTCCCCACGTGGCTCAAAGTGCAGAACACCAGAAAGGTGTTTATTTATCTTTTATTGACTATGTCAAGACATTCAACTGTGTGGATCATACATTATGGATAACCTTGAGAAAGGAATTTCAGGACACTTCATTGTGCTCATGCTGAAATTGTACATGAATCAAGAGGCAGATCGGCAAATAAAACAAGGGAATACTACATGGTGTAAAAGTAGGAAAGTTGTTTGCTGGGCTTGTATCCTCTCACAATTTTTATTCAAATTGCATGCCGTGCAAATCATCAGAGAAGCTGGTTTATATGAAGAAGAGTTAAGATTGGAGAATGGCTTATTAACAATCGGGGCCTTGGTGGTGTGGTGGTTACTGTTGAGCTGCAATATGCATGGTCGGTGGTTCAAAACCACAATCAGCTCTGCTGAAGAAAGATTTGAATTATTACTCCTATAAGCAATTATATTCTCGGAAACCCAAGAAGTTTGCTGTGACTCACCGTTGACTTTTTGGCTGTGAATTTGGTTTGATACATACAGATGATTCAATCTTGCTTGTTGAAAGTGATGAGAACTTGAAGCATTTGTTAATTGAAAGCAAAGATTTCAGCCTTCCATATGAATTATAACTCAATATAAAGAAGACTAAAATTCTCACAAATGGACCAATGGGTAACATCATGATAAATGGAAAAGTGTTGAAGTTGTCAAGGATTTTGTATTGTTTGGATTCAGAATCAATCATCATGGAAGCAGAAGTCAAGAGATCAAAAGATGAATTACATTGAGTAAATCTGCTACAAAATATCTCTTTAGAATATTGATAAGCAGGGATGTTACTTAAGGACTAAGGTGCACTTGACCCAAAGCATGGTGTTTTCATTTGTCTCTTATCCACGTGAAAGGTGAACATTGAATAAGGAAGACCAAGGAAGCCTTTGAATTATGGTGTTGGAGAAGAATATTGAAAATACCATGGGCTGCTACAAGGACATACAAATCTGTCTTTTTAGGTGTATCATACTGGAGGATAAGGTACTCTGCACATTGACAAATGATATTTGGGCGGAAACATCGTGCACAAGTGAGGCACATCTCTTTCTGTTCTAATAAAAACATAATGTTGACCTTTCTGTAATGTAAGTGATCCCAGGAATACACATGCTACCAGTTGACTGATTTTTCTTGAGGAATGACCCCATGTAGTGTACTTGGTTTCTGTTGCTGGCATGTTGGACTTTCAGCAATGGCAGTAGCCAAGTTGGCCTTGGTGAGTAGTCATGCATTTTGCTAAGCTCATGCATAACTACGTTGTCCACTTGTTCATGAGATTATTGGGCAACCACTGTAGTGCTTAGGGAAAGAGAATGATTGGTTTAAACAGAACATGTCATCCTAATCCAACTTGATTGCTAAATTCCTCCCCTGCAGAGGCTGACCAAACAGTTAAACCATGGCCCCAGCCCATGCATATATAGTCACACATCTGGCTATTCTGCTTCTGAGCAAAATTCACCAGCAGGTAAAATTCACCAGCAGGTAAGATTCGCCACCAGGTAAACTCAGGGTGGTCCAAGAACAGAGTTGTAATGTTGCAGCTGTCTACTTTCAAGTGGCACTTTCATATCTTTAAATCCAGCTAGGGTTTTCTTCTCCTTAGTCAACAGCTCAGAAAGAACTCCCCACAGGGCCATTGTTGTCAACTGTGAGAAATAGAGTACTATGATAGGAGTGGAGACCATATACATGGGGTCACTGTCATCTTCCTGAGCTGGAATTCTGCTTATATAAAGTAAAGTAAATCTTTAGTAAACTAACCATCTATTTCACTCTTAGGGACAGTGTGCTTGATTTACCAATGCCATATGTCTATACAAATTAGATTCTTCTGACTCTCCGACTGTGCTATCTATTTGGTATTCATCCCCACCTTATTTCTATTGATTAAGGGATGTCAATTGGTCCCCACAACTCTGGAACTCAATTAGCCCAATGGTAGTTAGGTGTCTTAGTTCAATTGGGGAAATCCTCACTGACAAACCTTGCTATCTAAAGTTGCAATCCTAGCAGTCTTCAGAGATGCTGGAGCTATCTTCCCAGGCTTGTTCCTCACTGGGGTGGTAATCAGTGTGTGGTAGTTATATAAATCTTTTGCCAATTTGAGTGGATTAAGAATGAAGAGGTGGAGTCTGGCCTGTCAATCAGGTCTTAGCCAATGAAGCCTCTCTGTGGGCAGGGCCTTCTCCTAAGAATTCTGGGAACTCCTGTCTTCTTCCTTGGAGGTGAGAGACACTCTCTGTCTTGGCTCACTCCCTGTGAGACATTGCAGCTGACAAGATACATGGAACTACACTAGTGCCCTGAACTGAAGGGGCCATGTGGAGACCCTGCCATCACTGAGATGCTCACAATGCCACTGGATCCACAAGACTTTCCACCAACTGGCCTGTGAACTTCCTGCATTCAGTGCCATTGCATGTGTTTCATGAGTCTGAAGAGGACTTTATAGATTAGTGTTGGACATATGGACTAATATCAGACTTATGGAGTTGGTTTGAACTGGGCTGGGATGGTTTCTTAATGAACAATTTCTCTTTATATAAAGCTCTTTCTTATACACATCTGAGTGTCTATGAATTTGTTTCTCTAGTCTACCTGGTCAAACACAAAGTGTGTCCTTGGGAACTCCACCTATGGTATGGGTTGAACCTGATAATTCCACTCTAATATGCCCATTTCCCTTAGACTTTAGATACATTTTTCTACAGTAGATCTGGTTCTACAACTTGATTCAGTGCAGGTTATTTCAAAATCCATGCTACTTAGGAGTAACCAAATATACTAGATCCTCTCAAAATCTCTTAAGGTGAAACATTACATTAAAAACCTACTTCATGAGTGTTTGCTTTGGCAGCACATATATTAAAATTGGAATGATACACAGAAAGTTTGCATGCTCCCTGTGCAAGGATGGTACAGACATTTGTAGTGTTTCATATATTTCAAGCCATGTGTGTTAGTCTGGGTAGAAACAAATTCATAGACACTCATATGTATATAAGAAGAGGTTTATATACAAGAGCAATTGAATATTAAGAAAACACCCCAGCCCAGTCCAGATTAAGTCCATAAGTCAGATATTAGCCTATATGTTTGACACCAATCTATAAAGTCCTCTTCAGACTCATGACACACATGCAATGATGCCACAGCCACATGTAGTAAGATCACGGACCAGTGGGTGGTAAGTCTTGTAGATCCAGTGGCATTGTAAGCATCTCAGTGCTGACAGGGGTCACACGTGGCTTCTCCAAGTCCTGGGTTCTGTCTGCATCAGGGTAGACCCATGTGGCTTCTCCTCAGGGATGTCTTACAGGCCATCAGCCTGGTCAGTAGAGAGTCTCCAAGGAAGTGAGCCAAGAGAGAGAGTCTATCTACCCCCTCCAAGGAGGAAATCCAGGAATTCCCAGAATTCTCAGGAAAAGGCCTTACCCATGGAGAGGCCTCATTGGTTTTATCTTGATTGACAGGCCAGACTCCACCCCTTCACTCTTAATCCTCTCTAATTGACACCAGGCTTTGTAACCACCACAGACTACCCCTTGTCAATTTGACACTTTCACATAGCTCTTTAGTCCTATATAATTTTCAAACAAACAATAATAAAATCATATCTGTATCTAACAGGATAAACCTAAAATGCATATAATTCAATGTGTGCCATCCTCATTTAAACATAACATTTATAAGTGAACAAAGCAGTCAAGTTCAATCCTTATCAAACTTATCTAAATCCTTATCTAAACTATTCTATTGATTACAAAAAATACGGGATTAGGTCTCTGAGAGCATCAAGCCAGTTGCAGGCTTTCTGTGAGCCATTCTGACATTCTGTCAGCCATTTTCCTTAAGCAGTATTGTTTGTGAGACATTCGAAGGTAATTTCTAACCCAGAGCTCAAAATAAACATTAACAACATTCATTTTTACCATGTCACACAGAAATAACCAGAAACTAAAACCAAACAAAATAATCAAAACTTTAACTTCCCAAATTATTTGCAGGAAACAGCCCAGTAAACTGCATGGACATATCTGACCTCCAGCTACCCAAAAAAGAAAAACTATCATGAGGCAGAGGTCATACAAGGATCCACTCTCCATCTTTATGATTTGTTTCTCCAGTACCCCAGTCCTGTTACCAATTGTGTTAGACAGGGTTCTCTAGAGAAACAAAACCAGGATATTTATGATTTTATATATAGAGATATAGATGGTACAGATATAGATATAGATAGATAGGTATATACAGCATGAAGGAATATAACAGCTAATTAGTCCACCCAGCAGTACAGAGGGCTCAGTTCAATTCACTTCCACAGAACAATTAATATACTGGAAACCCTTCAACTCACAAGGGCTGCTGGGACCAAGGTCAAGGAAGCAAGCAGCTTAGTCTTCTGTAGAGCAATGCAGGCCGTCACCCACAGACATCAAACAGCAGAGCAGGTCACCAACAGTCAGCCAGTCAACAGGATTCAACAGTCCCAAGCTCAAGTGATGTATACACCAGCAGCATGGCAAAGCAGGTCTTGAAGGTACATCAAGCTCTAGCCACACAATCCATGGGTTGGATGTCCCACAGGTAGTGTAGCTCACCTGCTGAAGCAGAGAACTAGTTGAGGCAGCCACACACTGGCCCAATCACCAGAGAGCAAGAGAAAGAGGCGGGGCTTGCTAAGCCATTTATCGCTTTGCCCTCCACTCAAACTGGGACATGTTCCTATTGACCAGCTTGGCACAAAAAACCTACCTATCGCAACATGTCAGTTCAAATATCCTCACAGAAGAATTCTGCGGCTAGTGGAATTAAATAGCATTCGGAAAGCATGAAGGACCTCAGTTTGATGACCAACGTACCATTGAGTCACAGGCTGTGTGGAACAGAGTCCAAAAGGAAGAAAATCAGAACTGAAAGTGATGAAACCAGAGATGACTGAACCATCTATTGATAGAGATATATCTGAAGCAGAATCAAATTGTTCCTTCTCTATCTGAGCTCCAAGATCCAATTGTAAAGTTAACTAGGGAAAGGCAGAACATAATTCCATTCACTCCAGCATCCAGTGCAAGGAAAAAGGTGAAAACAACTCCAATAAATGAATCTCATACTGAAGAAGTCTCTGAAGCCGAAGTTCATGTTTCAGGTATTTCTGCATGTGTGCCTTCCACAGGAACAAAAACAAGAACCAAAAGAGGGGAGGCTAAATTACTCACAGATTCAAGTCAAGAATCACACGCAGAAGATATTTCTGATCCTGGGTCATTATGCTCAATCATTTCTTCGTTTTTGGACATTGCAGTCAGAAGAACCACCAGGGGTGGGCACAGAAAATTACAGGCACAAACTGAAGAGGAAGCTAGTAATATTGCACCAGGAAATGTAAAGCAGAATTGTAAAGGTTTAGCTGATGAGACCAGAGAAATTAAAAATGAAGGAAAATTTATGGATGATAAAAGTTCCTCATTGAAGAGTCTCTGTGTTAGTCACCTAATCTGGTGTCAATTTAAGGATTAAGAGTGTAGGGGTGGAGTCCAGGCTGTCAATCTGGAGATAGCCAATGAGACTTCTGTGTGGGCATGGCCTTCTCCTTAGAATTCTGGGAAATCTGGCAATTCCTTCTTTGAGGTGAGAGACACTATCTCTCTCAGTTCACTTCTTTGGAGAATCTCTACTGACAAGGCAGACTTTCTGTAAGGCATCCCCGAGGAGATGTTAAATGGACCTACCCTGATGCAGCCTGGGAACTGGAATGGCCACATGGAGACCCCTGCCAATGCTGAGATGCTTCTGCCACTACTGAGTTTACAGCCACTGGCCTGTGATCATTCTGAATTTGGCATCATTGCATGTGTTTTGTGAGTCTCAAGAGGACTTTATAGATTGATATCGGACATATGGGTTAATATCAGACTTATGGCCTTGGACTGGACTGGCTTGAGATGTTTTCTCAATGTTCAATTCCTCTTGTATATAAATCTCTTATACCCATCTGTGTGTCCATGGATTTGTTTCCCTAGTCTACCCAGACTAACACAGTTTGTGAGTTGCATGACACTAGCTTTCATCAGGTAGTTTCTCTGAATCCTCAAATTCTAACTTACAAGCTGTCATGAAACCATTAGCTCAGACATAGACAATTGTGTAAATGGACGGAATGCAAAAAGAGAGAATCCTGCAAAAACAAATGACTTGACACAGTTTGGTGGTTCAGTTGATAAAGAGTACCCCCAAGATCAAAGCAATATATATATATTTTTTTCATATATATAATTTGAACCTTATAAACAAATTGTATAAGTCTGTGCTCAACACATCTTAGGATAAAGATGATTCTCTTTTATTAGCCCGCAGCAGTGATGAAAGTCAGCAGTCTGAGAATGATGAGAATGAACAAGACATCACATATTTTGTTGGAAATAATGATCAAAAGGAATCAGTGAGTGAAGACTTAGGAAAAGTGTCAAGTGAAACTGCTTTGTATGTGATTGACACAACTGCTGGATCGAGTGCTTAAAAACAGTTTTCACTTAGAAGAAGAAGACAAGGCTAGTGAGGCTGTCACACGGGAAGAAAAAGAAGAGGGAAATAATGAAAAAAAGTGAAGAGCTATCAGATGATGGTGGAAGTGCAGTCAATGAGACCAGTGATGAAGACTTACTGAACAGTACAAATTCTAAACTTCTGAAGTTGATGGGCAGCAACATAAACCCAGGTCTGAATGTTAAGCAGCTCAGTGGTATATATATAAATTTAAATGCATAAAGACCACAATCAAAATAGAAAACTCTCACACAGATTAAGGAGAAAACAAAAAATGAACTTCTGCAGAAAAGCATAATTACTCCTGATTTTGAAAACTAGTGTCTCACCTTATAGAGAATCGAAATTTCAACTTATAAAAAAGGGGTGATGGTGGGAAGAGCAACAAAAAGCAGCAGGCATTGATTGGTTTGGCACGAAAGCTCCAGAATTGACAGCTAATCTAAAAAATGACCTCAATGTCCGGAAGATGAGAGCATGGACCCCAAATGGTTTTACAGGAAAAGTTATGAAAATGGCTTCCCCAAGAATTTCCAGATTGGAACCATTGTTGCTGATCCAGCTGACTTCCATCATTCACAAATTCCCAAGCAGGAGAGGTAAATAACTATTGTGAAAGAACTACTGGCTGATTCTGAGTTCAGAAGATTTAATGGATGGGTATACTTGGAGATCGTGGCTGAAAAGGCAGCAAATGCTGAAGGAAATAAGTTTTGAAAGAAGAAGAAATTTTGCAATTAAGATTCGCCAAGTAAGCAAATTTTATGTCTTTTATTTATTTACTAAATGGATTTTGAAAACCATCACTGTACATTAAAGTAGAGTGACCCCCCACATACCCCCAGAATCTATTTAATGGGCTCATACCAACAAACTCCAACTGGCTCACCCTTACGTTTGTTGCACCATTATCCCACATCCTTAACAGGATTCTTACACATATTTTTCAGGTTTCTGTCTGTACATATTAGAAAATGCAATACTTCTTTAGGAGGCTACAGCACATCCTTCTGAGTCATCTTCTGTAGTCACCTTCTAAGACTCCCTGAGACTGAAATTTAGTTATAAATTGAAAAGGAATATGGATGATAAGGGTGTTTCCTAGGAATTCTCAGCAATATCTCTTAAGGTATTGCCCTCATGCCATGCTCCAAATACAGTACCAGGTGGCATGTTAACATATACATTTGGGGTAATCTTAAGTATTGTTTTTGGGGACAGTAGCTTTATGGATAATGATGTAATCTCTTCAGATGAGAAAGGTGGCATTCTTAGATGGCATGAGTCAAAGGAATTTAGGGATTCAATTTCTGCATATTCATGATTATCTGCCTATATGTTCCCAATCAAATGTTAGGGTTCCATATCTTCCCTATCAATGTCCCACATTTAACATCACA